ACTTGAGGAATGCAGTTGGGAGGCATTTTAAACAAGAAATAAAACCAATAATTAATAATTTCCTTTAAGTTCACTGTTGGTTGATTTATTTGTTAAAAGTAAACCAACAAAAGGGTTAATCTTTTTTTGTATGTTGTCATTTATCCGTGATGTTTTAATGTTAAGTGTGATAACATGTTCTTAATTTGTATTCAAATTTTTTTCTTTTAAATATCTTAAGTTATTTAAAATATTTTATTTTTATATTTTTATTATCTTAAGTTGTTAAAAATTCCAGATTTTTTTTATCATAATATTTATATTTTATATATTTTATATATATATATATATTTATATATTTTATTTAGTCATTAATTATTTTGTATTTTTATCATTTTGTACTGTCTTAAGTTGTCCAAGTTGTTAAAAATGTTATTTTTCTTAATAAAAGCTGTATATTGAATTTGTTTGGATGGATTGCCATTTTGTTGTCTATTAGATGTATTTATGTAGTCTTCCGGGTAGTACATTTTTGACATTTCTCGGTTCTGCACGGGCCCGGGTCCAACTTTCAAAATAATAGACGGGTCTGGGTCGGTTCAGTGTAGCACATTTTAGCACAAATTTTTGGACCCGTGTAAGACCTTACGTAGTCTGGTGACTCATACGGAAAAGCGTTGTTCTGTGTCACAGTGAGCAAATATTATTTCATTTCAGATAGCTAATTTGAAATCCTGCACTGAATTGTTCACTGTTTTGTCTCAATGGGAATAAAGTTAATAAGAAAATTATTAAGAATAAATAGGCACGGCAAGTTTATTTATATAGCACATTTCACACAATGGTAATTCAAAGTGCGTTACATAAAATTAATTAAAATAATCATAAAAATAATAATAAATACTTTTTTTTTAAATAAACTAAAATTGATTTAAAATGAATTAAAACCAGGCCCGGACTGGCCATCGGGAGCACCGGGAGAATTATTATTATTATTAATATTTTATATTTATGCCTTCTCAATGTACCAAAGTGATCATTTCCGATTTTTTCATTAGATAATATATCGATAATAAATCATAAATCGGTCTTGACTGGCAGCGATGAGCTATATGAATCAGCTCACGTGTGTTCCGGCCAGAAGAAGCAGTGAAATGTAGCAACATCACTGACCTGTTCAGGGCTTCAAGTGCAGGTCAGTTTCATCTGTAAATACTCTAAAGAGTTTTGTCTTTATTAGTTGAGTATTAAACTGCTAATACTGCTAATATCCATTCACATGGATTTATTGTACAGGGAGGGAGGGAGCTAGAGCAGACAGCAACACAAAAAGTAATACGAGTCACGTAATTCAATAGTGTGTTCATTATTAGAATTTTTCAACAAATATATTGTTCTAATTTTGACATTTAGGCACTTTAGAAAATGTGTTTTAATGCACTACCAGTCAAAAGGTTTTGATTGGTTAGGTTTTTTTATGTTTTTTAAAGAAGTCTCTTCTTCTCTCCAAGCCTGCATTTGTTTGATCCAAAATACAGCAAAAAACTGTAATATTGTGAAATATTTTTATTTAACATAACTGATTTCTATTTGAATATATTTTAAAATGTAATTTATTCCTGTGATTTCAAAGCTGAATTTTCAGCATCATTACTCCAGTCACATGGTCCTTCAGAAATCATTCTAATATGCTGATTTGCTGCTCAAAAACATTTATTATTATTATGTTGAAAATTATAATGACTTCAAGCTTTTGGTATAGTGTGGTATAATGTTACAAATGCTTTTTATTTAGGATAAATGCTGATCTTTGGATCTTTATTCATCAAAGAATCCTGATGTACTCAACTGTTTTAAATATTAATAATAATAATACATAATAATCTTGAACAGCAAATCAGCATATTAGAATGATTTCTGAAAGATCATGTGACACTGAAGACTGGAGCAATGATGCTGAAAATACAGCTTTGATCACAGAAATAATAAATAAAATTTTTAAAAATGTAAAATGTTAAAAATATTTCACAATATTACTGCTCTTGCTGTACTTCGGATCAAATAAATGCAGGCTTGGTGAGCAGAAGAGACTTCTTAAAAACATTTAAAATCTTATTCAAAAACTTTTGACTCGTAGTGTATATTTGTATGAAATATAGGTTTGTTAAATCTAGGGTACTTAAGTCCTTTTAAGATAAATAACATTCTGTGCTAACAAATTGAAATGAGGTGGTTGTTTTCAACGAGGTGGACACAGTTCTGTTCTTAACAGTAGACATGCTGGTGAAGAAGTGAAAGGCAAGAAAAAAAGGGGGGACAGAGATATTGGGGAAAATGACGAAAAGGGAAAGGGAAGTGAAGGAGCAGTGCAAGAGAGAACCTTTAATTATTTTCCACGGCCCCAGACTAAGGATTTAGACCTTTTTATGTGATGGCCATACAGATAATAGGGTTGTCTGTGGTTTCAGAAATTGTTGTGGATGTATAGGCTATACACAGAAAAAAAGGGGCCAAAATTGCACCTTTTGGGGTACAACAGCTTGTCACGGAACAGTACCCTTAAAAGGACATCTTTTTACCCCTAGTATAGGCCTACATACTACCTTACGGGTACGAATTACTACTCTAAGGTACTAATATGTACCTATTAGGGGTAAAAATGGTACAAAGATGTCCTTTTAAGAGTACTGCTCTAGTGACAAGCTGTTGTACCCCAAAAAAATACAATTTTGGCCCCTTTTTTTCTGTGTGGCCTGGATGAGTGTAAGATTCCCTGGCCTGAAATTGCATCCCAGTCCGGCCCTGATTAAAACAGTTAAGAATAGAAAAAGATTATACATAAAATACAGTGCAATCAGTTCGGACGCTGCACAGTGCTCATTCACTAAATGCACAGCTAAACATATGAGTTTTGTGTCTGGATTTAAATGTGGCTAATGTTTTAGCACATCTGATCTCTTCTGGAAGCTGATTCCAACTGCGGGCGGCATAATAACTAAAAGCGGACTCCCCTTGTTTTGTGATTTAAATAGATTAAAACTATTATATCCTTTGTTTGCAAACGTCTCCTGATAGCACACGGTGACGTTTACATCTGCAAGAGTGTTTGCTCATCTGCAATACGTCTATAGGACGTTTCCTATCAGATGTCAAATAGACGTTTAGAAGATGTCTTTAAGATGTTTATGATTTAGAATGCATATAAAACTGACATCTTAAAGACGTCTATCAGATGCTTTCCAGATGAAGCGATCTTTAACAGACATCTTGCAGACGTATGTCAGTGTCTGGGTCCAGGAAAAGTAAGGGTTGAGATTTGAATCCACATCAAAGGAGTTTTAGCTTTCTGCGCCCCCTGGAGGAAGACGAGCGAATAACAGCTGCTGCTCAATGCACGCATGCGCACTACGGCAGATGTTCACGACAGTGGAGAATGCGTTTGCGGCAGCAGCATGAAAACTGCAGTTCTGACAACAACTGTCTGACATATTATGATAAAGATGGAGTTTATTAAAGAGGAGATTGACAATATGCGTGATCCAGAAACATCCAGAATAAAACATGAAGATGCTGAGGAACAAACAGGTTGGTGTCCATTCTTGATTCTTCATTGTTGATGTCCACTGAAGAGCATCAAGGTAAACAAAACATAAGGTGGCTGTAGTTATAAAATCATAGCGACTGTCAAATACTATAGAGATAGGTAAATAAAAATGCATTTCAATGAACATAACTTTGTATAGCAATTACCTTCCTTCACATAAATGCCTGACAATGGAAGCCCGTTTTCACCACAGAATAAAACATGTCTTTTTATTTATATATTACAATTCTGACTTTTTCCTCACAATTGAGTTTTTTTTATCCTCAGAATTGTGAGATATAGCTAAATTTAGGATTGCAAGAAAAAAAGTTTGAATCGTGAGATAAAATGTCACAATGACCTTTTTAAAACCCAAATGCACAATTCTCAGATTTGCAAGATATAAACACAATTCTGAGAACAAAAGTCAGAATTTTAAAATTGTTTTTTTTTCAGAATGGCGAGAAAAAAGTCAGAATTGTCAGGTATAAACTCATAATTGTGAGGAAAAAAGTCACAATTGAGATAAAAAAAAAAAAAAAGTATATTTCTTATCCCGTGGCACAGGCTTCCATACCTCATTAATTTTCCTTTTTAAAGATTTATTTCATATGCTAATCTATAGACCTGATGGAAGTGGAGGAGGTACATTTAGAACTGAACGAAGAGGAAGATTTCATTACTGCAGAAAATCATTTCTCCCAAAGAACAGAAGCCAAAAACCCCTTCCCCTGCCCTCAATGTGAGAAGAGGTTCACACAGAAAGGAAGCCTCATTAGTCACATCAGAATTCACACCGGAGAGCGTCCGTACATCTGTCCGCAATGCGAGAGGAGCTTCACGCGTAAATACAGCCTGAACGTGCACTTAAGAGTCCACACTGGAGAGAAACCCTACACCTGTCCTCAATGTGCGAAGACTTTCACGCAAAAGGAACACCTGAATAATCACGTAAGAATTCACGCTCGAGAGAAACCGTTCGTGTGTCAGCAATGCGGAAGCGGTTTCACACGTAACGACAGCCTGAAGAACCACTCCAGAATCCACACTGGCATCAAGTCCTTTATTTGCCCTCAGTGTGGAAGGAGTTTTAACTGGGCTCACAATTTCAACAGCCACCTGCGCTCGCATTCTGGAGCGAAGCCTTTCAGCTGCGATCGGTGTGGCGAAAAATGTCCGTCTGCGTCTGCTTTAAGATACCACCTCCAAGCTCATACAAACAAAAGGCCTCACTTGTGTTCTTCGTGCGGAAAGAGTTTTGCACGGCTGGACTCTTTTAAAGTGCACCAGAAGCTGCATAGCGGCGTGAGACCGTACGTGTGTTCAGACTGCGGCAGGACGTTTAATAAAGCCACCAACTTGAAAGAGCACCAGAAGATTCATACTGGAGAAAGACCGTACAAGTGTTCGCTTTGTGACAAGAGTTACAGCCAGTCGGGATCCCTGAGAGCACACGAGCGGGTTCATACTGGAGAACGACCGTATCGCTGCACTCAGTGTGGGAAGAGTTTCTTCAAATCAAGTCATCTAGTGGCACATGTAGAAATGCACCGTCCAAAGGCTTCACAGTGATGAACATTGTCATTTTGGATCAACCAAAAACAGACGTTGAACTATCTAAGAAGATATTGTCTGGTATAAGTGCAGTGTTTTGTATGGACAATGTAAAGAAATTTAAAAAATAAATATATGCATGATAGCTGAAATAACTTTAAGTGACATACTGTATAGGGAGGTGAAAAGCACTTTTATTTTAAAGCAAGACACTACAGTCAAGTTTTTTCATGCACTGGTCAATTTTGAGATTTTGGGTTTTCATAGCGCGTTGTTTCAGACTAGTGGACAGAAAATATCCAAAATACACTTATAAGTGTTTATTTTATTGCACTTTATGCATTTGCATCTGATTTCAAATACAAAATACATTTTTCTGGGTTGTTTTCTCAAAATCAGTTTTTTTTATTTTCCGCTTGACCTGCACTTTTACACACACACACACACACACACACACACACACACACCAAACTTTATTTCTATCTATATTCTGATGCTTTTTACAGAGGGGTTTGTTCATATACCATTCGCCTGATATATATTGAATATTTTATTCCTAAAAACATGATGAAATTGATTTATTTTCTGGCTTTTGACAGTGTTTTCTGATTTATGGAGCGATAAAAAGAGTGATAAAAACCTCTAATGTGTCAACAAAATGAAAGGATGTTCAGATTTGTATGAAAATGAGTGCAAATTTCATTAGATAAAGCATCATTTGCATATTTAAACATAAGATTTTTATAAAACTTGTAATACAAAAAAATGTCTGCAATACTTAATGTATCACCAGGGGAAGTATGGTGCTATATATTAGTTAGATTGTACCCCATTCTCTTGGGGTATTTTACCTTAAACATAAAAACTGTCAGTGTGTTTGCAAATATATATGAAAATAAGTTATTCTTTCTTTATATAATAGTGTTACTGTGTAATCTGATTGTCATGGGACAATCATTTGTTTATGCTTGAATGATGTATTATTGTAATTTATATAGTCTGCTTTGTCTTATTTGACTGACAGAATAAAAAAGGCTGTTGATTGAGCAAAAAGAAGAATTTGCATAAAAGTATAATCAGCAGGATTATTATTGGCAGTGTAGTAAATAAACCATAAATTGCAAAATTAGTTTGAAGTCTTCTCAACTTTACTGATCTGATTCACTGAACAAAACGGCTTTTAAGAGTCATGAATTGAGCTACACCGCTCGTGCTGTATGTCATTAATTCACTGAAAACAATCGACTCGTTAGAGTTGTTCTGGAAAACTTGTTTTATTCTTGTCAATATTCTGACCAAAATAACAGGGTCATCACGTTGACCTGCTGGAAAGCCTCTTTGTCTCATTTCAAAAAAAATTTTTCCATTGCAAAGAGTTTTTTTAAATCTGTTTATTTGAAATAAATGTTAAATTAGTCTAATAAATCAGTTTGCTTTTCTTTGATATGAATCAAGAAGGATTTGACAACAAGCTGTTTGTTAGTTATACCATTTCTTAAGATTTATGTATTTCTTCTTTTATTTTTACAGTACATTCAAATAGTATTGCATTTATTTTCATTATTTCTTTATTTTTCTTTTTATGTACCTCATCCATATATTGAAATAACTTTTAGCCAAACTATATCTGTAGATAAATGTAGGTGCCTACAATGTTTTTTTTTTTTTTTTAGTGAAGGAAAAACATAAGAACTTCACAACTGGAGAAACTTGTTATGAAATTTATTTTACTTTCAAACAAATTGATGGGTTTCAACATCGTATCTCAACTCAACACTTAAGAAAATTCATATTTTGAATGGATGATTTTCAATTGATATATAATCTTCAGATTATCATGATATTAATTTATTTTATGCTTTGATGAATTCATAAAGCAGATCACTTGATGCAATATTTTGCAGGATTTTACTTTTTTATTTCTCGTGTATACACGAGACATAAGCTCCTAAATATAGAGCTAAATAAATTAATGCTATTAATAAACTCTATTCAAGCCTGCAAACCGATTACTGTAGTAGTTACAGTAGACCTTATTTACAATGTAAGAACTGGCTTGGCAGAAAGTCCATATTTGGTTCATCCGTCATACATTACCAGTTAAAATTTTGGAGTAATTAAGAATTTATTCATGGTTCTGAAAGAAGTCTCTTCTGCTCACAAAGGCTGCATTGATTTGCTCAAAAATAAATGCAGCAAATCAGCATATTAGAATGATTTCTGAAGGATCATGTGACATTGAAGACTGGAGTAATGATACTGAAAATGCAGCTTTGATCACAGGAATAAATATATTCATATAGAAAACAGTTATTTTGAATTGTAGTAATATTTCATTGCCCGGCCATATAAAACTCTTTCCGCACAAAAGAGCACACATACGGCCTCTCATTCGTATGAACATTCAGGTGTTTTTTTAGAACAGATGATAGCGTAAAACCTTCACCGCAATGAATGCAGTTAAAAGGCTTCACCCCAGAATGAGAGTGCAGATGATTACTGAGACTGATCGCCCATTTAAACGTCTTTGCGCAGTGATGGAATTTGAAAGGCTTCTCTCCGGTGTGAACTCTTATGTGATCCTTAAGGCCTTTTTTATACGTTAAAAAAACACTTTCCGCACTGAGGGCAGATGAACAGCTTCTCCCTGGAGTGGATCCTCACGTGAACCTTGAGGTTGTTTTTGAATGTGAAGCTCTTTCCGCACTGATGGCACGTGTACGGTTTCTCTCCGGTGTGAATCCTCAGGTGATACTTCAGGCTCTCTTTACACGTGAAACTCTTCCTGCAGTGATGGCAGCTGAAAGGTTTCTCTCCCGTGTGAATTCGTAAATGTTCCTTAAAGGAGACATATTATGCCCCTTTTTACAATATGTAATATAAGTCTCTGGTGTCCCCAGAATGTGTCTGCGAAGTTTCAGCTCAAAATACTCCACAGATAATTTATTATATCATTTTGAAAATGCCTATTTTGAGTGGAAGCAGAAACACGCTGTTTTTCAGGCCTGTGTCTTTAAATGCAAATTAGCTGCTACTCCCCGCCCCCTTTTCCAGAATAGAGCTGCGCTATTACTGCTAAAAACATCTGTTTTGGTTCTGATTATTATGTTTATCGTGCTGAAATCATGCGTTTTAAACTTCAGATATAAGGTTTTGAGCACACACATCCGAAGCACACGCACAGAAAGCGGCTGTCACAGCATGTGAGTACTAAACTAAGTTCTCATTCACACACAAGTTTACGCTAAAAACACACGAGTTACAAAAACAGTGGGTTATGTCTGTGAAGGTAAACAGCTGGGATATAAATCACATGTTTATTTTAGATCTGTGTGGCAGCAGCAATATACAGTAAATAAATCAATAAATGCACTGCTCTGTTGTCTCCTCTGAGGCTGGGACTCTAAACAGTGTTCTGTGCTCGTCTGTGCAGCCAAAGACAGAACAGTTAGTGTGTTTTGCTCAAACTTTGGCAATGGCATTAGAGCTGGTACACCGTTGTCGCTTGCGAAACCAAATCACGGCGCCGTGGGTGGAAACTTACAGATTAAGGGGCGGTAATATTATAATGAGATCCCTTTGCGTCGTCACCAAGGGAGCGAAATCAGACACGCTCGTTTTCTCAGACGCTTGCAGAAAAAGGCTTCCCAAAACAAAGTTACTGGGTTAATCTTTTTCACGTTTCCTTGGTTGGTAGATGCACTGGAGACCTGATTATAGCACTTAAAACCTGGAAAAGTCAGATTTTCATGATATGTCACCTTTAAGGCTGTCTCTCCGCACTGAGGGCACGTGAAAGAGTATTTGGCTTCGGTTCTTTGAGCTTTGAGTTTTCTTCTCAGTCTCTGAACACGTTTCTTCAGTTTCCTGATTCTGATGTTTCTCCTCCACCTCAACCAGTTCTTCGCTTTCTTGTTTTATGCATGTCAAGTCTGCAATACATAAAGTATCATATTTGAAATGCTAAAATGTAATTCTGTCATTCGCATTCAATGCCATCCAATTACTAAACAAGGTTAAAATTATTTAAATATATTTTATGCCACTTAATCAGCTAACAAGCAACATTCTCAGAACGTTCTGGCAAGTTATGAACTAATGTTCTTCCAGTAACGTTAATAGATCGTTTGTTCAAAATGATCTGGTCTTTAATAATGTTCTCAAAACTTTAGCACAAAAACATTATTCATACATCGTTCATGGAATGCTTTGGAAACGTTTTAGTTGGATGTTCATCTAATGTTTTTTAAATGTTTCAGAACTTCCAGAGAACAATCAGGAATAACATTTCCATACTGTCTGCATACTCCCTTAACCTTTGTATAACCAAGAAAAACGTTCAGAGAACATTCAGATATAATAACTTAGTGAAACATTTGCAAAACATTCTTAGAACATATTTGTGTTAGCTGGGAGTGATCTGGTCTTAGTAGTAGTAGTACCTTTATTTATCCCTTGTCGAAATTTTGTTTCCGTGGTTTTCAACATGCATTTCACATAGAAAACAATACGACATAACAACAAATGCAGTAAATATGAGGGGGG